AGAGAAAGAGAAAAACAACTAGTAAATGGGCCTTATTGAGTAACAGTTTCATGTATGATATCACTATAAAACAATATCCTGTAAATGCTATCATGGTATCAAAATATCACAACACATGGTTTCAAAGCTTTTTGTCACTACTCATGCGAGAACTTACTGTAACTCCGGATGTATGTACTTGAAGATGATTAAACAGCCAGGTCCTGAAAAATTAGACTTTCTTAGTTTGAAGTGAATTACTCAAGTTCAAGGTCGATTGAAAGGTTTGTTAAACTTGCTTCCCAAAAAAGAGACATAGGTTAACAGCAGGAGTTTAAGTAGGATTTGGGCGGTAAGGGAACCCTTGTTCTAGTTCTAGTGTAATGGGGAAGCAGGGGGAAATCACTGATAATAATTTGTATTGTCAGCTGCAGTAAATTTTTGTGGTCAGCTGGACTGTGCTGCAGCTGGTTCCAAAGTCACATATATGCCGTTATGGCCGATTGTAGAAGATAGTCCTGTTAATCAGCAACTATACTGAAGCACATCTGAGCACTTATTTATACAATTATTTGATTGTTTCTGTTGCTTGCAAATGGTGTCACATTTGCAAGCAACCAAAAAGCATTTGCCCTCTTCCTGACTTCCTATTTTTTTGTATGCTTGTCACACTTAAATGTTTCAGATTTTCAAACAAATTTAAATATGAAGCAAATGTAACACAAGTAACCACTGTGTGAAAAAGTGATCAATCCCCAGTCTAACATAAAGTGACTGTGGAATATTAGATCTTCAAAAAGTTCAATTTCACAAGCCAGACCCAAGCTTGATTACTTCCACACCTGTTCTCATGAGTTCCAAGATGAAAACACCTGCTCATCTCAGTTTTGCTCAAAATCATCTTGATGATCTTAAAGACTTTTGGGAAAATACTCTGTGGACTGACAAGACAAAAGTTTAACTTTTTGAAAGGTGTAACCTATTACGTCCTATTACATCTGGCATAAAAGTAGCACAGCATTTCAGAAAAGGAACATCATACCAAAAGTTCATACTCCTCCAAATCTGACTGTGGTTGCCCACATGAATGTTGAAGTTCCCCAGCAGAATAATAGAACCCCTGGGAATAGAGCACTCCTTAGCACCCCATCCAATGGCTCTAAGAAGGCAGGATGGAGCATTACAGCTACCACAGTCAGGAGGCTCATGTACCGTGCTTCAACATAATATTACCGTATTGTGTATAAGAATCCCAAAATGGCACCTGTCAAGAGACATGCTTAAGAAGCGGATTTCAAACTATATCAGTCACGCAGTAGAACATGGGCATAGAGCAGCTGCAAGAGAATTCAACATTAATGAATCAATGGTACAGAGGTGGAGGAAGCAAGAAGAATGAGTTGAGTAAAATTGACTTATCAGACTATTTGGTTTCGCTAAATGCACTTTATAATCCGGTGCACTTCATGGTCCAAAAAATACGGTAACTTATCTTTCTTGTAGAAATGTGCTCCAAATAAAGAACATTGTGTTGACAAGATTGTGAGTTAATCATTTACAAATCAATATTGTCTGTCTGGGTAGAAGTGTTGAGTGATGTGGTTGAAACATTTGCGTTCCCCTAACTTTTGCACTGGTGCACCTAAGAAAAAAAGTTAGGCGCACCAGTGCACCCGTGGCAAAAAGTAAGTGTAGAGCCCTGCACTGGGGAGAACTCCAGGTACTCGTGACATACTGGGGGGATACAAGTATACCCGCTCCTTCCTGTTGCCTCCTCACCGAGGGCAACATCAGAGTTGAACAATGTCCCATTCCTCTCCAGGGTTACCCAGGGTACACTGGACCCTTGATTGTCATACTACATAGGAGTTATCTCGGTCGCTCTTTATCTGGCATCTCACCCAGTGGAAACCCTACCAAGGACAAATTGCTCACAGGTTCACTGGAACGCAAAAATCCCCTGATAAGGTGCCAATTGATAGAGGCGAACATGAAATAAATCATAAAGAAACAAAGAAAAAAAAAACTGCCTTTATTGCTGCTTTAAACAAAAAAAATGCTTCAAATAAGACTTTTCTTTAGTTTTGAACTGTCCAATTTACTAAACTGTTACATCATTGCTGTTCTGCAGGTGTCTCCAGTATGAGTGGAAACAAGGATAAGGTAATATATTCTAATTAATTTTAAAAAAAATTCTAAATGTTTAGTTTTGAATATTTTGCATACACTAATTGGTGATTTGTTTATTGTTATAGCAGCCAATAGATATTTCTGAAGAAAGAATCAAACAGAAATGCCAAACAGAAACTGAAAGACTTCTGAGCAGACTTCACCTTCAGGACAAACAAACACAGAAAATGTCACCAGCAGACTTTCTTAAAATAGGCCCTCCTGTGAATCAGAGCCATGACACATCTGAAAAGGATTTAGCTTATACTTTTCTTCAGAGGATGATGATGTTAGAATACAGAGCAAGATATATCCCTGTAAGGCAAGACAATCCTGATGTAATCCCTTCAAAGTCTGATCCAGTGTTCAACAATGATGACTTTGATGCTCTATTTAGTGCAAAGGTAGACTCTAATGAATCAAAATCTCACATTCACCCAATGGATGTTCAGATGGCAGTATTTCATTGTTCAGACAGCTTCCTTAAGCAGAACCTGGTTACAAAGCTTTCCCAGTGTCAGTACGCCTTACCTTTGCTTGTCCCTGACCCAGTCACAATGGATATTGAATGTCCTCTCTGGACATTCAGGCAAATAACAAAAACATGGAAGATAGCTAAAATCAAAGATAATTCAAATGTTGTCAACATGAAGACAATGCCCATCTGCAAAGCTGAGACACCCATGGTGTTTTTCTTTCGCTTGGGTTCACTGCCAGTGTCAAAATCTCAGCTCATGAACACTTTGATCAATGACCGTCACAGCACCTTCTTCCACAGGAACTGCCCAGGTAGCACCAAATCTCGCCTGCTGATGGATGGTGTGGCAGAGATTGCCTGGTACTATCCAGCCGGAAAACCCAATGACTCCTTCACTGACTGCACTGCCTTTTGTAATCTTCATGGTGATGCTCTGTCATTTCAAAAACAGCGTGAGATACTAACAGAAAAATCATCAGTCACTGTTGTTCTTGTGCCGACTCTGGAAAAAGGCCAGAAAAGTACCACAGTAATCCAAGACCTTTTCAAGTCACCAAAGCCTTTAATTATTCTCATTGCTGATGATGATTGTGGTGCAGTTCAAGTGAAAGATGGAAAATACAAAATGGGTCTGAAAGACAGAAGTCAATCAGATGTTTCTGAAGGATTGAAAGGAATTATCAGAAAGATTTTATATGAATCTCACACATTCTTCCAGCTTGAGTCCATTGGAGTCAGAGTGGATGAAGATGGTGAAGTCTGTCAAAGAGGGAAAGCTGCTGCAATGAAAACAGTTAATATACTTCAAGGGATGGAAATTTCAAAGATCAAATATACATTTCTCCTTTGTCAAGGCGATCTGTGGCATGAGTGGTGCAGAATAAATAAAGAGCTGTATCACCTTAAAGGAAACATTGAGAAGGAAAAAAGTGAGAAACAACAGCAGCTGATGCAAATAAGACAAAATCAGTGCAAAGCTTCATGTAGTGAACTGATGAAGTCATTCACAGAAAGCATCTTGTCTTTGACATCAAAAGAGAAGGAGTACTTCCTGAAATGGACTCAGATCTTAATAGATGCCCTATCCACAGATGATCTTTCTTTGATTCTTCAAAGCTATGATGACAAGTGGACTGAGCTCAAGGCTCTGAAGAAGAAACATAACAAATCTGATCTGTTAACAAGTAAACAAACTGAGCTTGAAGAAATCTCCAAAAAGCTGCAGTCTGCAACCTTTGGCCTGGAGCACATCTTCAGAGAAATGGGACAGATCTATGAAGCCCATAGAGCAGTGCAAGCAGAGAGCAGAGCAGTAAAACCAAAACATACAAACACTGACTGGTCTAAATACCCTGAACTGGCTGCAGATCTGATGATTTCAGGACACCCAGTGGAGCTGATGGACGGTGATGCAGGTCATGTGCCTCTAACATGGATCTCTGGTTTTTTAGATGAAGTCATCAAGAAACTAGGCGACCAGAGAGTTTTTGTGTTGTCAGTTTTGGGCCTACAAAGCAGTGGAAAGTCAACAATGCTGAATGCCATGTTTGGATTGCAGTTTGCAGTGAGTGCAGGCAGGTGCACCAAAGGTGCCTTCATGCAGCTGGTCAAAGTGTCAGAGGAAATCAAGAAAGACTTCCAGTTTGACTATTTTCTAGTGGTGGACACTGAAGGACTGCGGGCTCTTGAGCTGGCAGGAAATAGTACTCGTCATCACGACAATGCACTAGCAACATTTGTTGTTGGCCTAGGAAGCCTGACACTGATCAACATCTTTGGTGAGAATCCAGCTGACATGCAGGATGTCCTGCAAATTGTTGTTCAGGCTTTCATGAGGATGAAGAAAGTTAAACTTTCTCCCAGTTGTGTGTTTGTTCA